AATATTTGCAGAATTATAAATATATAAAAATATTTTATCATAATATTTTTTCAAAAAGTGTTTAATTTTCGCACCTATGCCACCAGTCATATTATTTCATCCAGTAGCTCGTGCACACGAGCATGTTACCGGTGCGCCAAGTAGGAAGAGGAGCGCACAGGAGACAACCGTTTGATTGCAGACTGTTATGTTTATGTGGGGAAATGGTGGTGCATACATTATTTGAGATATATTTCAAACTCGGACTTCATTTTAAGGACATGTCGGCCAGGGGTGTAGAGCTATTTGTTTAAGCACCGGATTGGCAAAACAGAAGAGTAAACCAGTCTGCCTTGATCTATGAATTAATGTCCGGGACTCTCACGATCTGCTGCCCGCAGCTGCTTTATAGAAGGAAACCCTCCTTCACTTCTTAAAACGGCTGCAGCATCCGGAGGCAGCGGGACGTATACTCCGCTTCTGAGAAGTGCAGCACCAGTATGACTGTGTTTAACTTCATCAGAACAGCTTAAGAGTGACTGCAGGCTGCTACGTGTTAACCACACACACCTATACACACACATCTACACACATCGAACTGCCCGATTACTCCCCCTTTTATTAGTTTTATGAAGGAGATGTCCAGTCAGTCACCAAGGCGCATGATGTGTGTGTGTATGTGCTCTGCTCAGCTCAGCTCTGTGTGTTCGGTGTGTTTGTGTCTGTCCGACACCGGCATTTGTTTTCAAATGTTTATGAACAGTAATTTACACACATATGGCTAACTCCATATATGCGGCTGTTCCCAAAATAAATTAGTTTAATCTTAATCTCGATGTAGTGCTAATGCTGTCGGAGTGCACCGGAACGAACGACACTATCATAATATCTTCTGAAAACAAATGCCAGTGTTCATAATGCGGCTTCTCCTCGTTTTCCCAGCATTCACTGGATTATCCGTAAATCATACAAACAAAACCAAAACGTTAATTTATCTGTTTTCCCGTTTTGGTTTAAAAACTGAATAACGTCGGTTTTTTGGTTTTCCGAAAAACCAAAAAATGATACCGGTTCTTTTTTAAACTTTGTTAATATGTTTTGGATGCATATTGTTCTAGTATTTGTTCAGGCTGTTACATACAATTAGCCTCTGTTGCTACCTGCTGGTGGTGAGTAAATATTAAAATCAGTTAAAATTGACAACCGGTCCGCGATTTTTTTTTAATGTATCTGCCGGTCCTTGGCACAATAAAGGTTGGGAACCCCTGCCTTAGAGGAGGGACCTTGTTGACTTAGCCATGACTCTTCATCCAGCGTTACTCACTGGACAAAATGTACCATTAATATTATTAATATACATTGAGCTTAAAGGTGGGGTAGGTAATTTTGGAGAAACCGGCTCGAGTGCGCTAGAATCTGAAAATACACAGCCGGAACAAATCTGCCACTTTCTTACAGAGCCCCTCCTCCAACACACACGAACGCGCACATGACCAATGAGGGCACGAGATAAGTTTGTGCACAGATGGAAAGCTGACAGGCAGGTAGGCCATCCAGTTATTTTAGCCGGGCCGGCTAAAATGATTGGTCGTGCTTTTTACAGTATTACGGCTTCCACAGATGACATTTTTTTATGGATTTTTTGTCAAAGCACTTAAGATAGTCATTGCTATCGGGATGTTAAGAGCATTCCATGGAATATAACAAAGAGTGTATCTCGAGCCGGTTTCTCAAACTTACCTACCCCACCTTTAAAGGGGTAGTTTGAGTTGTTTTCGGTTGGGTTGTTAAAGATACTCATCCATTTCCTACGGTAGCAAAGTAGTGAATTCACGCGGCAGTAGCCTTTCTGGCAGCAAGGTTAGTAAATATTCTAAATATGGCAAACACCTTAACATTTAAAGGTAGTCCTTTTTTAGGTGGCTTGAATACATGCGTTTTGGCTGCTGCCCCCTTTAACAGCGGTACATTGCTTAGCTTACATGATGGATATCCTGTTGTCTCTCCAAAACTGGGTGTGTGCAGACCACTACACTATGTACTATAGGTAATACACAGACTATAGAAAAGTATGATAATGCTAGCATCGTAACATGCATTTGTATTTATTTACCAAATCGTAGCCATTAGCTCGAGAAAATGTCAAAAATAAATCTCAGACAGTATTGCCATCAGTAAAAATATTTCGAATTGTAATTCTTATTTAAAAACACGTTGTAAAGCTTTTGTTGAAACCTACTTCCTAAATGATATTTTATGATGTATTATATATTGTAGGTTACTAACTGGAGAATATCCACTGTATTTCAATATCTCAAAAATTAGTCCTTGCACATATGCCCCTTGTGATTTGACAAGATTTGTCATACAGAAATAGCTTTCTCATGGGATAAACACTTATAAATGCTACATGCAGCAGCTGCTTCAGAGTAAGTGTCACTTTTTTAAAATTCAATTCAAGCACTGAGAGCATCAGTGCTATTTCTATGATATATCAGAGTGAAGAGCTTTTAATTCCTCTACAACCCAAAAGGTCCCAGCTGTTTGGAAAATGTTTTTCATGTAGCAACCATTCGACTGACACTGTTATTTTCCCTCCTCAGCAGCACACAGCCACTTCCTGTCACAGTTCCTGCTGGACGGTGGAAGTCTCAGCGTTCCTCAGCACCTGTACCACATCCACGCCCAGACTTATGGCGACAACAGGGGGGCCAACCTCGTCTTTCCCCCAGCGGTGGACCCCATTTCCTCAACGTCCAACAGCCACCAGGACAGAGGTCGGCCCCTGCAGGTGGACAGAGGCACTGTCACTGCAGAGGCTGCCGTCAGACACGTGGACAGCAGCTCACTGTCCGAGGATGACGTTTTTTATAACTAGCAGGCCTGCAATCTTGATGCCAATCTCTCAAATGAGCCTCACTGAGAGGATTTGATCCACCAGCAGGGACTGATTTGAAAGATAAACACAGACATCTGTGAGACATCTCAAGAGGCTATTTCTCAAATGAGCTGTCCTCAGAAACAAAGACCCCAGATTGTATTTTCTCGCCTGTCCAGTTGTATACTTTTGTGAATGTACATAGTTCCATTTTAATTTTGTATCCAGTGTACATTAAACACTTTCATATTATAGGTAGAACTGAACTGTGAAGAGTCAAAAGATACTGGTGTTAAATATCTTGCTAATAAACATCAATTTTAATATACGAGCTGTCCAGTGCTTATTTTTTCTTCCCATTGAAGAATCAAACACAAGTCCAAACTAAAGCAGAAAATATGAAAGAAAGTGAAAGTGTGTCGTCTTTCAGGTTTAACATTTTTATCTTGAGAAAAGTCCATTATCTTGGACCATACCCCCTATGATTAGATATTACAAATATTTGTCTGTCTGAGAGCGACGGGTGAATTGGTGTGGAGAAAAGACGAGTGTAGAGAAACGCAAAGGGAGATCAAACCGAATCAGAGTGCGTGTGGTCGGTGTGTTTTTCAGCTTTACATCAGGCAGCGTGGCTGAGTATTTGACAGTGAGGGATGGTGGGATAATGGAGGTGTCGGCGTCACTGGTCATAGTTTTTCTTTTAGCATGGGTTTACACAATTTCCGGGACATTAATCAGAACATTGGATCGGCCATTAAAAAATACGTTTATCTTGGGAAAAGTACTAATATAAAGAAATAAAATGTGCAATAAATAAAAAAGATTATGATGTAATGGCTGATATTTTTCCTCGTTGGAAAAACTGTCATAAAGATTATGATTTAAAGAAAACTTTATGGATACTTGATTTCCTCTTTCACATCTTATTTGATGTTTTTAGCCATTAGTCGACACCACAAGTGTTATCTTTAGAGAATATACACTCAAGATGTTTTTATTAATGAGTATTCACATTTTTTCCTTGGTTTTGATGAGTACACCAGAAAAGCACTTAGAAATAATTTGGACTGCACTAAAGATTTGATTAAGTTGAGCAGGAACCTTGTTACCAAGGCAACTGTCCTGTTCATGATGTGAATATGAGAAATCACTTAATATCGTTACCTCAAAGCCACTATGAAAAGAATAATGCAATTAATTTTCTTCTGATAGAACATTTCAGGGTTGGTTCACTGGTGCAGTTTACATGTGTTGGGGGTGGGGCGGTGTATTAATGTATACAATATCACAGGGAACCTTTCTGATGCTGCCACTAGGGGGCGCCAACGCTAGACATTTTAAGATTCAACACATGGCAGTTTTAACTTAGGACTCAAAACCTTTCTTGAGACATTTTATTGTGAAGTATTGTGGTGGAGTGTGCAACGAACTGCCTGCATCACAACATGATGTTGATAACACTTTTTCAATGTTGTCGTTGCCAGGCAATACAGTATGTGTTGACCTTTTTCAAAGAAAGTTTCTAAGGTCTGCAAAAAGATTTATTAAGTCATATTTCATATAGCTGAACATATAGTGTTAAACAGAAGACAGATTTTTTCCTATTTTGGAGCTAGGATAGCATACAGGCATGTTTTTGTTCAGGGGTTCCTGGGTCCCACTCGCAGTGAGGGGGCAGCTAGCCGATTGGCCAATGCAGAGCGTGGTGCACGCGCTGGAGTGTATGGTTTAACCATGACTGAAATAAATTGAATCCAAGGGCTGAAGGAAGAGGGGAAAGTCTCTTAATAACACATCAGCAGGGTTACATGGCGTAAAATTCTACAATTTAAAAAAGGATCACATGTTACAACTGCCATTAAACCCAGGAAAATGCAGTCTTTATTGTATAGCCCTGGGTTTAGGTTAACCTGGGTTAATTGTGTTTGGGTACCTTAGCTTCTGGGCGTCAATTCTAGAGAGTGACACACAGTGTGAAAAGCACTATTATAATTGGCTAGGCACACTTTTAATATTGCAGTGTCACACAGTGCAGGTTGTGCTATCTCCTGCATGAGATCCTGCAATATAATAAAATGCCAGATAGAAAGCTGTAATAAACGTTTTTTCTCTGAGCCTACTCCTCAGTAATGATTGTCGGCAAATATTTTTAATCTAGGATATTAAAGAACTGATGTCATAACCAGAGCCAGGTTTATATTGCAGCTGATCAAGACTGAGATGGTTTCATGTTTACTTAAAAGGTCAAGGGATGAGCTTATTTCTTGTGTGTCGCTTAGATTTCTTTTGCCAAGTCTTCTAATATCCTCTTCATCTGTAGCAGAAAACAGAGAAAGAAATAGGGAAAAGAAGTCTTTGAATCCATAAGTAGCCATTATGCCTCCTATAATGTTAACAAATGCATACAGCGACACAGTTTTGTTTACAATTTGCATACCAACTAGTGACCGAATCAAGCTGTTTGTATCATTACTTACATTTGTGAGCCAGAATACACACATTACATCATTACCTCTGGCCAGGTGATCAGCCCGAGCAGCCTTCCCCTGTCTGCGACAAACAAGGTCTGAGCTCCAACCAGACTCAGGATACTGTGGGCCTGTGGGATGCAAAGGAACATTTATTTACAGTAACTGATTCCATAAAAGTGGTCATTGTTTTGTGAAATATGCCTATTTACTTTCTTTCAGAGAGTTTAATCAGAAAATTGATGGCAAGGAATCATACTATGCTCAACTAATTTATGACAAGAGACCAAGCAGCAACCTGCGAGTCTGAAAAAGTAAATCCAATTCAGAAGTACTTTTAACATTCCTTCTAATGGCCAGCAAGGGGCGACACCTCTGTTTGCAAGAAGAAGTCTGATTGTATAGAAGTCTATGCGAAAATCCTACTGTTCCTACTGAATTTATTAACTCAGTAAACACTTTCCTAATTATATTATCGTCTCAATCTTTAGTTTAGAGTATTCTTCAATACAGCACTAAGTTCGTTTTGTAAATAATGGTCCCATTTAGAGCAAAATAGACGTTAACGTAGGGTATTCTTTAGGGTTGGCTACCTTTTCTTTGACAGGTTGCTTCCGCGGAGTTCTACAGCAAAAGGTACTAAAAGACTTTAAGTAGTTTGCTAATAATTTTTTTCGGGAAATAGTTTTGTATCAAGCCTGTTTTATGCATGTCAAAATTAGCAACGCAGTTCATATCACAGTTGAACGTAAATCACGGATGCACCTTGTTAGCCAAGCTAGGTAGGGTGAGTGTTATCTAGTAAATTAGCTGTCTTTTCGCTCTTCATCAACTCCACCCTCTGGTCCAAATATTATGGTCACTTTGGGTTCGAAAAAAACAAAACAAGATGGCGACGGACAAGTAGCCAAACATAGGGCTTTTACACGGTAGTCCAGTCAATGTGAGAAAGCAAATAAGACTATTTTCCAAAGTCCTGAACTTTTCCTTAAAATTCATTGTATAAAATTCCTCAAAGTCTTCCTACCTCTTGAACAGTGTTGTGAGGTGATAACAGAACAGAGGTCGGGTGTATGCAGCAGACCTCATCCAGATGTTTCTCCAGAGCCTGCACAGAACAGCACAAACAATTTCACATTTGTATGCATTTTCTGTCAACACATTCTCACTCCCAACTCGTCACATATTGACCATCGGTCAGGGCCCCTTCACGTCACCTTATTACGCACTGGGTACCCATCGAGCGTCAGTTTTCAACGGGCAGGGCGTCCCATAGCAACCTGGTCTCACCAAAATACGTGAAATGAACACGATTCCTTAACACCGGACACGGAATCTGCTAAATGACGTGTCGGCACCACGGAAACATCCCCAATGTAAAGTGAATGAGGATCCTTTTTCGTGGTGGACACACACATTTCTGCAACGTCCCGCAGTGAGCTTAATGTTGTTTTCTACTCTATAAAACGTTTTTAAAATCTACTACTAGAACACGCTCTTGAATAGGGAATAACCTCCATAATAACGTAGATTTTAAAAACGTTTCATAGAGTAGAAAACAACATTAAGCTCACTGCGGGACGTTGCAGAAATGTGTGTGTCCACCACGAAAAAGGATCCTCATTCACTTTACATTGGGGATGTTTCCATGGTGCCGACACGTAATTTAGCAGATTCCGTGTCCCCACCACGTAATGCGGTGTTAAGGAGTCGTGTTCATTTCACGTATTTTGGTGAGACCAGGTTGCTATGGACACCCTGCCCGTTGAAAACTGACGCTCGAGGTGTACCCATTGCGTAATAAGATGATGTGAAGGGGCCCTGACCGATCGTCAATATGTGACGAGTTGGGAGTGAGAATGTGTTGCAACAGTCAGATGCATGCTTGTCATTCAGCAGCATTCAGTACTATTTGTGAAATGATGAGTCACAGTTGTGTCTATCGCTGAAAACCTTATTACTCTCTCTGTTGTTGGACATTGCTCCAATATGTGCTTTAAAACCGCTCTGATAAACAGCTCTATTTTTCTACATTATGCTCTTAAATGGATGTACTTTCATGAAATTAGCTTTTACGTCAGCCGTCCTGTCTGCACATTCTGCTCTCATCCTTGTTTGACATTCAGTCGATGCCAACTGGATTGTATAAATCATGGCCTGCATTTTAAACAGCATCACACAGTTCACTCCTCTGCCTTGGTTCTGAACCCTGCAGCTACCTGTCTGACTCCTTGCAGCCTTTTACCTCGCTCTCGCAGTGACGCAGGAACATCAGCAGCTCTGCACGAAGAACAAATCCCAGAATAATCTGCGACTCTTCAACAGAAGAGAGGAGAGGGAATCAATTTCTCTGCCACAGTCTGCTACAGTTTAAAATGTGTGCCACTCTCTAGCAGGCTGCGAATCCTTTGTTACAAACATGAAAATGTGTTCATGTGATTGCGGCTCAGCTGGCCAACTGACACTTTTTTCACACTTGTCGGCTCCTTATTGAACACTTTCACACGGCTGAATTGCTACAGCTTTTGAAACGCTTACAATTTTTCAGCAATTCTCTCAAAAACTCTATTCGGTATCATAGATGCCTGACGTTTACTTTAGGATCCTGAGGACTTTGTGCCAATTTCCCACACCCTCAAATATATGTTACTCTTTCTTGGAAAATGTAAACAAAATATGACTTCTTGGCAAGAAAATTGGGGTAAAATACTATCAAATTCTGTCTGCTCACCATGTGAGTCCACCACAGGGATTTGTGAGTCAGTGCTGGTGTTGACAGCCAGCTTGACCTCCACCGGCCCAGCAGCTTTCTGAAGCGTCACTGATATCGCTCCTAAAACCTGTCCCACTGGTGTGGAGGGAAGCCTGCAAAAAGAAAAAAATCATGTCACTCTTGGAATAAAAAAAAGCGGCTGTGTTTAAATGTAAAGATGGTGGTGACAAAAGAGCATCTGACAAGTTTGCGCCCAGGTACAAATTATTATAACACTCATGTCAACACATTCAGAATTATAACTTTTGACTCTGGAAAAACATATTTAAGTAGTGCCTGAGAGTCTAGTTTGCCGCCTCCGCCTGAATGCTGTCGACAAAAAACTGTGGGTGATGACGACTTGATTTCTATCCAAGCATATTATTAGGGGCTGAAACTCAGTCTGCGTGAGAGACAGATGAAGAAGGAAAAACGTCAGTGGGGCTGCTGATTGCTATCACCAAGGCGGCGTGCTGACATGTATCATGTTCAAAGCACACGTTGAACTAATTTGCATTCATTTGACATCACCCAGATGACTACTGTTTGAAAATAATCTCTAAATTTGCATACATTTCTCACATAAGCCATGTAGCCTACAGAACTTTCACAATGGAAATGAGTTGACTCCTTATTTATACTTTCATTTAGGGCTTTAAAGTAATATTTAATCATTGCAGAAGGAGGAAATGTAATACTAGAAAAGAACTCTCAGTAGATTCCAGATCTCCACTAGTCTCCTGGACAACAACAAAGAAGGAGTCGACTCAATTATCCCTCCAGGCTCCCTTAGATTCAAGATGGCAGCGTAGATAAGAAAAACTGGGGATTTTTTCATCAGTTATCATGTTTATCTACAGCGGATTGGCTTTGGAATTAATATTGAGATACTTTTGTTTGAAATAAAGACCATAATTGTTCAATTATGTCAGTATTTGAGTTACAGCTAAGGTCAACATGCGGCCTGCAAACAACAGGCAAGTGTTGTTTTTAGCCTAGCTGATAGCAGAAAATGTGTTTTCTAACACTGACCAGTTAAAGATCACTACTGACCCTACCAGCTGTTTAAGAGCAGTTAGGAGTCAGCAGTCATGGTTGTTGTTGTTTTTAGTTTTGCGCATATTAAAACACTGCCTAGCATTGATGGCCCTTAAAGGTGGGGTTGGTAATTTTGGAGAAACCAGCTCGAGTGCGTAGAATTTGAAAATACACAACCGGAGAAAATCTGCCACTTCCTTACAGAGCCCCTCCTCCAACACACACGAACGTGCACATGACCAATGAGGGCACGAGATAAGTTTGTGCCCCGATGGAAGGCTGACAGGCAGGTAGGCCTTCCAGTTATTTTAGCCGGGCCGGCTAAAATGATTGGTCGTGCTTTTTACAGTACTACGGCTTCCACAGATGACATTATTTTATGGATTTTTTGTCAAAGCACTTAAGATATTCATTGCTATCGGGATGTTAAGAGCATTCCATGGAATATAACAAAAAGTGTATCTCGAGCCGGTTTCTCAAACTTACCTACCCCACCTTTAATTACTAGTCAGGGAATAATCAGAGTCTTTAGAAAGTATCTTCAGCTATCTTCCTTTGCTAAATAGGAGGCATCCAGCTAACTTTTGTTGAAATAATTTTGTCTTAACCAACATTTTCATCCCGAAAGCTTCTAAATATCGTGAACGTATATGATCATGTAGGTTTTCCAAGACATTATTCACAATTTTCCATATTCTTTGGAAACAAACAATATCTGTGCATTTTAAAACAAACTGCCTGCCTTGGATGCACAGTTTTCCCATCTGATGGTCATACAAAACTAGTTTTTTCTTAAACCAGTCTAAGTTTAGTTTTTTTAACTAACCGGGGGCATGCCTTTTTCAGGGAGGGCAGGTGTGGGAGCCTCTTGCCGATGGAAAGTGCATCATAGAAAGATGGCCGATTCCCCGAGCGGGCCAGGGCGTTGGCCAGCAGAGTGGCGATGAGGACGGGGATGGCATGGCTGAACTGTCCCGTTAGCTCTACAGCCAGGAGGGCCGGGGACAGGGTGTGTGTCACGGCCCCGGAGAAGGCTGCTGCACCTACAAGAAGAAACCAGGTTAAAGGTACTACTTAATGCGATATACTCGTTATTGTAGACGGATGAGAAAAAAAAGTATTTGAATTGAACTTGCACTTTCATACAATTGTTATATCTGTGCCACTTTATTATTCAAATACTTCATAGCTAGACATCATTGGACAGAATACAGTTGGTTTTGGGACTCTGTAACTTTTTTGTAACTAAAATGTGTCCTTGAGGAGTTAAATCTAATGCAACATTTTGGCAGATCACCATTTCTAACATCCTCATTTGAAACCCTGATTGCTTTCTGGAATCTGTTAACATCTAATCTAAATGAACAAATCGTTAAATTATTGGAACAAGTTCAAAGCTCCTGGCATATTTGTTGTAGAAATAGGACGTGGCTTATACATGCTAATGTAACCCAGGGTCAGGGTAGAATGAAAGAGGGAGATACACAGTGCTGATATTTACAGAGTTGGGTGTAACGCGTTACTATAATAATATTACTTTTGTCGGTAACGCCGGAGTAATGTAACGCGTTACTTTTATAATTCAGTAATTACACTACAGTTACTAACATTGCCCGACACGCGTTACTTCGTTACTTTTATAAAATCAGTAATCACACTACAGTTAGCCTACTAACATAAAGAATTACTAGATTCTCCCTTTGACAAACAAGAGGGATTTCCGCCGCAGGTTTATATTTACGTAACATTTGCGCGACTTGCACATGCAGTGCATAAACATGGCTGAGTCAACAGCGATAACTTTCAAGGGGTGGAGGTATGCCCATTATTGATAAGGCTCCCTCCGCAAAATGAAGCACCCTCCGCAGTCTGCGTGATCTGCCTGTAGGGAGGGGCGGCCCTGCGAGTAAAGTAATGAGTAAAGTAATGTGTTACTTTATGTAGAGAGTAACGAAGTAAAGTAATATATTACTTTTTTTAAAGGAATACACGGTGGCCACCACAGCGTTTTCTGAAACGCTGTGTTTAACTTTTGTCCAGTTTCTGAACAGATATGAGGAGCTGTGAGCTCTGAGTGTGTGCTAACAGCTAACGGCTAATGTGTTGGGACCTTGGGACATGTTGCGCTGTCGGGTGCTGACTGGCAGCAAAAACAACCAATCATAGCAGTGCTTCTCTGGCTGGCTCTGTCCAATCACAAACAAGAAGTGTTCTCCCTAAAGGAATACCCTTTCCGTCCAATGTGAAATGCTGTGGTGTTTTGTGGTGTTTTCTGAAATGCTGTAGCGTTTTCTGAAATGCTGTAGCGTTTTCTGAAATGCTGTAGCGTTTTCTGAAATGCTGTAGCGTTTTGTGAAATGCTGTAGTGTTTTGTGAAATGCTGTTGCGTTTTGTGAAATGCTGTTGCGTTTTGTGAAATGCTGTAGTGTTTTGTGAAATGTGTCTTGCACTTCAGGGCCACCGTAGTAATAAGTAATATGTAATATATTACTTTTTTTGAGTAACGACCCCATCTCTGCTGATATAGGTCATGTCATCATTGTATGAACAACAAAGAGCTATTGATTTTTTTTTTACCAGCGAGTGCGTAACCACCAGGATTTATAGAAGCCCACTGCAGGCCTGAAGTCAGTCCAGTGGAAGACACATAAGCTACTCCTTCTCCAAGAAAACGACCCAAAGCCGCCCCTAGAGAACAGAAATGTAAATTTAAAAAACACAAAAGAAGAGTTCCTCAATCTTCATATTTTACTGCAGGGTTTTCAAATTCTCTGGAGAGACTGCAGCAAGACATATTCAAATAAACTCCTCCCTTCACTCACCGTAGACAAACACTGGCATGAAGTATCCAGCTGGCAGAGGCAGGGTGCAGGCAAGGACCAACATCCACATCTCGGAAACAACAACAGAGACACACACTGTCAAATCTCTCCTCGCCATCTGAACTGCCACACAAGCTCTACTAGCACAGCAGATGAGTCACTGTCACTCTCAATCTGTGTGCAAGGAAATGTTTTCAGTGCTCTCAAATCTATCTCGCACAAATAAACTGAATCATTCCCATTTAAATGTCACATCTGCGTCTGGTAATCAGGGTAAAATTGTAAGTAAATGGATCCCATTGAGAAATAAGGGACTGTTTTCAATAGAGGAATGTCCACTTATACCCTTTTTCCACCAAAATGAAGGTGTTAATGCAGTTTGTTACACAAGAGTACCTGCTAAATCAGGCAATCAAGCAGAAGACTTCTTTCCCGTTGCCATTAGACGGCAGAGATGGCAAAAGTACACACATCCTTTACTCAAGTAGAAGTACAGATACTCGTGTTTAAAAATACTCTGGTAAAAGTAGAAGTACTGACTAAACTTCTTTACTCAAGTAAAAGTAAAGTATGGGCTTTGAAATGTACTTAAGTAAAAAATACCCATAACTACCAGCTGTTTCAACTGGTAACTGGACCTCACTTTATATTAAACATTGAAGATCTTCTATTTCAAATTGTAATTATATCATTGTTAGCTAATGAATGTTTCAACACTGAACAACAACCATTTAGAACACAAGCAAAGAAAAACAAAGTGGGGAAATAAACGCCTACATTGTAGATTCTAGGGTGACTCTACCTCTTCCTTGGAAACAACAGAACAATTATTACCGTAATGCTTTAAAAGTTAAGTGAGTTATAATTGTGTTTGTGAAGTAACATTATAGCTGAAAACATCAGCATAACAATAGTTTCCTGAACCACACATCGCCAGGAATCGCTTTTGATGCCGTTCATTTCGAACATCACCCTCATATACTGTATGGTCATGGGTGAGGGAGATTAATATCTCCGCTGCTCTCAGTATTGTCGCTAACTTCATCACCCGTTTTACGCTTCCTCCCTAACGTCCGCCATTCTCATTGGTCCCTCTTTTTTAGAGAAGACCAGGAAATGATGGATATACGGATCGTGTTAAAATCAATAGGCACGCAATGACTCTAAATAATAATGATCACACCACCAAACGCAGATTAAAACTAAAGTAACAAGCCTGTTTTGAAAATGTAAGAAGTAGAAAGTACAGGTATTTGTGTTAAAAATGTAAGAAGTAAAAGTAAAAATTTGTCAGAAAAACAAGTAGTGGAGTAAAGTACTGATACCAGAAAAATGTACTTAAGTACAGTAACAAAGTATGTGTAGTCCACTACTTCCCACCTCTGTTAGACGGTTGCTTATCATGGAAAGCAACCGTATCATAACAAATATACACTTTTTTAAATCTGATACTTATTCAGTCTCTATCAAACTCTCAAACCACAGTTGGTGATTCTTGAAAGAATAACAAAGACAGTTTCAATTAGCTTTAATTTGTGTGTTTTTTCGATTACAAGCAAGGTAAAATGATTGTTTTTGTCAATGGAGTCTGTTGGCTATGTGGAGAGCTTGTCAATTATATGCTTTGTAAATGAATACATTATAATAATTGTCCTAATCCCTGTCGATTTTTTTAAATATATATCTATTAACACATATGCCTTTAATGCGTGTCATAGCATTTCGCAGAATAAGGGGCAACTATGTGCAAGTCAACCCTGGTGTCATGTCACTGCTGATTGAAGCTTGAGCTTTTATAAACTGTGACTACTGTGCGGTGATTTGTCTGAGAAATGAATGCCAGTTGTACCCTTGTAAAGACAAAAGCCTGATGCTATTGGGTGTCTTTGTCTGGTTGTTATAGTAAATGGACCCAACTACGGTATAAGAATAAAAGAAAGGCATTTATGTTCTAGTTTTGAGCACAAATTGAGAAAAATAGATGTTTGGTTGGTCTGGGTTCTTGATCAATACCGATGATTTGGCCATTACTTGGTCGGCTACTGAGATTTCTAGCTGCCATCTGCAGTGTTGCTATGAGTGAGCATCACATATCAGAAGGCATTTCCATCCTGAAAGGGTAAACGGTCTTTAGCTCGCTCTACTGTGAAAATGTAAATTAGTGTATGTCAATTAGGGGTCACTGTGTCTCGTCACGACTCCTGTTGATCAGTGCATGGTAGACTGAGATAAAGACACCTTGAATGGTTTTTCCATTGTAAGTACCTTCATTAGCAGAAAGACAGCCAGAGGTAGGAAGACAGGACTCCCTGACGAGCTCCACTCCAACAAAGCCTCGGGCCCCAGGTGAAGAGATGCATTGTTGGATTGAGAGCTCCACTGCCTGCTGTCCAGTAAGGAGGTCAGGAGCTGCTTCATGGTGTGCTGAGAAACAGATTACTGCCCTTCAGATTAATGTGTGAACGCACAACACACTCGAATTAAACAAAAGGTTAACATTAAAGGACTAACCTCGCATTTTTTAAAACACATTTTCAAAAGACAATATTGTTTATTTGTCCATCTCTCAATGCCACTTTCTATCTGTGGCCCTTATCCCATTCGTTCATGGGAACTTATTTGGATTATAATTCGTTTTGGGCAAATGTCACACTTTGTTGTGAACTATTTTCAGATGCGGACTAGTTAGTACGTATTTACGGCAGCAGGAGAGTGTTTGAAATGTTGACTCATAGAGTGTTGCAGTGCAGTGTAATGAAGAAACCTGACACCTGGTGCAACAGTGTGGCTCAGTGATGGGTTTTCACAGTTTTTGAACAATTGACCTCTAAGGCGCATAAAGTGTTGGTCTTTTTGTGGGATTTGTTATCAATAAGAACAAACTACAATAACTCCAGCCTTATCTGCTATCAGCTACCTTTCCCTGTACATGCTGTTTATTAGTAATGTGTTTAAATTCATGAGTAAACAGTTTGATGATGATCAGTGGAGAAACACACCACACATCCTATAGCATATATTCATTGATTTTGTGTGTACATGTACACAAATGGTGAACTGAGCCTTTATGAATGTTGTTGATTCCTACCTTAGAAGCCATATATTGACCAACAGAGTGGGGGAATGTCAGAGATGCCAGGAGGAAAGCCACCATGCCTGAGTATAGACCCTTCCTGCAGAGAGATGTTCATATACAGGGATTATTGTTGTAATGTTGCATTCATTTAGGTCATTATGGAAGCCCTATAAGGGGGAAGTGATAATACATATTCTCTGTCTGATTTGTTTATAAATCAGGTTAACAAAAAACTAAAAATGTGCATGTTGTTAGGATCATTTTTCCTGTTTGTTTTTGTAATACTCATTTTGGCCACAAGAGGCAGAAATGCACTGCTTTTTAGCAGGTTGCTAACATATTCATTCTTGAGCACAGGGTAGTGATGCACAATCATATTTAAACACTTTATCTATATAATACTAATTTTAACAAGGTTACATAGCGCATTCATGAAGAAAAGCTATCAAACCATAACATTTAGTACAAATATAGGAAATGTCTAGAGTGAGATGATAAAACCCTACAACTTCAGTCTTTTGTGGCAGAAATGAGTCTTACTAAAACATTTTGTTCACCTGTTTTCACAGATGAGAAATGTAATAAATAAGGAACCTGATCGACCTTGCGAAACATTGTATTTCAGGGGGGGAAACTATTTCGAAAATACTTGGCCCACCACAATGTTTATTCTTACTCACTTCCAAAGTTAATTCGTCACAAGTTGAGGATTTTAGTCGAGACGTTTTAATTGGCAAACTGCTCGGTGTGGTCACAGCAGAAAACAACATTGCTAACCAGCTCTGTTTTTCTTCAGATCTATGCTTTGAAAGGTTTCAGTGTTTTACACTATTTAGATAGTATAGATAAAATCACTAGGTAAACCTTTTAAATGTGGCTTGAAAGGCCCTGTCATTTATCATCAAGCCTTTTAAAGTTGTTTATACAGTTGCATAACAGATGGATTTGGGTTGTAAAGCGGTCAGATTTTTGCTACAAAACAAACTGTGCTTCTGGGACACTGGCCAATCAAATCGCTTGAATAGCTAATTACTATAAAAAAGCTCTTACTCTGTGGTCAGCATCTTGTTGAACATTGGGTTTGTTTTAGTGAATTGCAGCATCCACCGATGGCAGGCGAGGTAGCAGCAGCTCACAGCTCCACACAGCAGCCTGGGACAGAAAGCAGACTCAGCGGGACACAAGAGGCTTATTGTAACCCAGGCAGCAAGTCACTATCGGAAGTCATTAGACTTGGACTTGATGAGGGGGAAGCCAGGAAATGATTGGTAACAGAAAAGAAGTACGCTGATTAGACTCGGAAGAAACACAGCAGAACCAGTCAAATCATTTTGATGATGTGTGATGTAAATAAGGATGCCAAATATCAATTTATTTGTGTGAGACACGGACAAACATAGGACTTGTTTAAATATTCAGATGCTCTCGAAAATAAACTCACCCAAGAAAGGCAAATAGTAGAATCTCCAGCGAGTAGAAGGGAACAGCAGCGGGGAAATTCGTTTTAAACAATGCCTGAGGAGTCTCTGTGGACAAAGAAACAAATTGAAATCATCCCTCCAATCTCTTCCAAATGTAATCTTCCCTCTCTTTATTGCATTGAGATTTTTATTGAAATTCATGGGCTGTCAGCTTAAGTGTTTTGCTGATTTTGCCAAAGCTAATGTTTCCACTCATTATAATGACAATTAATTAGATCACTGACAACTCACTGACTAGACAACATTACCCAAGCACAACATTAACTCTGAAAAAAAGTATTGTGTTAGCTGCCCTCAAATGGGACTAATGGGAGAAAGAAATGTTGCTTTTTAATTTAACCATGCTTATTGGCAAACATGTATACAGATAAAAAATTAACCAGAGTTATTTTGTTAGGATTGTCGCTTGATTGAGTGGTAGAGTCCGCTTAGTGAAATGTTGCTTTCGTTGCAGTGACCACCTTCATAATGTAATGTAATATTAGACTTACAAAACGTGTAGTTTGCCTAAAGTTCCATGTATAAACATAGCTTCCAATGGTAATAAAATATTTAGTTATTAACATAATACATAGCCGTAGCTAATTAGCTAGCTGTAATTGTAAGGCGCCACACAGTGAATTAGTAGGCTAGCTCAGTTTATTAGTACAGGGGTTAGTACATGTGGATTCATTGGTACCAGTCCAGACTACATCCTCAATGTTGTGTAAGTTACATTTGTTGCTTTTTAAAGAGTGATCTGTGCTAATATGTTGAGTTCATGTTGAGATAACGTGTATTTCAAGACTGTAGTTTATCCAGGGTTTTGGTATTGAGTATCAGCTGATAACAAACGTTTAACCAAGGTCATGTTATGTTATTGTGGCTTCTTTTCCTCAGGTCAAGTCGTCAGTGAAGCTTCTCCCTGTTCACCATGAGGGGGCGAGTGCTGATCACAGCCTCCATTACCTTCATCTCCACTCCACACGGAGAATAGGCGGAAGGTCAGCGCCCCGCAGGCGGCGGAGAAGAAACACGGGTAGTAATGCCTCAGGGCGAAGTGAGAACACATCACCTCCACACTGAACAACACACCTGCAGGAGCAGAGGAGCGTGGGGACAGTAAGTATTCTCAGATAACAGTGAAAATCATAATTTAGCCTGCATGTGTGGCAACAAAAAATATGTTAAAAGGAAAAATAAATATATTCAATGTGTTAATATATATTCAATGTGTTAATTGATAGCACTGGTGGAAGAAGTATTCCGAAGTTAATATAATAACTAACTGACTAACTGTCAAATATTGTTATAAGTAAATGACCTTTATCGTATAATCAGTAAATGTAGTTAAAGGAGAGGTGTCATGGCCATTTCCACTGATCATAATTCCATTGTTGAGGTATACTAAAATAGATTTATATTGTGCATTTTTCCAAACTCACATTGGTTTCTCATACAGCATCTCTGTAAACTACGTGTATTCACTGAATTTCACTCTCTGCCTTTAACGGCTCGTTGTAGCTCCAAAAGCTCCAGCCCCCACCCTCCCTGTGAGCACAGTGTGCTCTGATTGGTCGGGACGTTGTGAATCGCGCTGAGCTCCGTGGAGGTGTTGTTTCCTTGTTTAGGATACATAGCGAAACACAGCCAAACTCATCCTGAGCACACACAAAGTCACATCCGAAGTAAAAACAATAAGTGTGGCTTGATATTGAGTAAGAAAAAGGTTGATAAACGCTGTGAGAATGGGTCTGCAGAGAGAATTTCGCCGCGATCCCAACTGTCTGTTATCAGCCTGCAGCCAGGGAGGAGAAATCAGCAGAGCTGCCTGCTCCCTGCACACAGATGTGTGTGTGAGGAAGTCCGTGGATTGGTCAATTTGGACCAATCAGCGGGGGCTTAACGTAACGGCTCCGCGGACGTAACGTAACGGCTCCACGGATTGGTCCATTTCGTTCCGGGTACATCATGCCGTACCCGGAAGAATCAAATGGAAAATGACGTATCTCCAACGAGGCGTTTTGGGGAGGTATTTTCTGTGTTAGAGTTTTATTCGCTATAGAGTGTACTTTGAGGGTTTTGACTCTGCAGACCGTTTACATGCATAAAAACCTTCATAACACACAAGGGGACGGGTAATAACCGGAAAAGCATGACACCTCTCCTTTAAAATATTAAATGTACCCAATACAGAAAAATCTAAATAAAAAATTATACAAAATAGCTGTTCTTTTTATAAATAGCTGTTCTTTTATAAACTGTTGGCTAGTTTAATTTTTAGTTTAATTTTAAACACAATATAAATTTTAGTATTTAACTTCTGTGATTTTTATGCAATATCTTTATTTGGCGTAAAATAAACGTAGTAAATAAAAAGTTTAATATTTTCCTCTGAGTTTTAGTGAAGTAATATATAGTAAGCTGAGGTGCTGTACCCCCTACAAGGTTTACCTAAATAAAACGGTGAATTGTGAGTATTAAAATGTTAGGTAGAGAGGGGATCAAAGGAGAAGGAGGTGAGGGGAAATGATTAACATAATAACATGGCAATTATGTGAAGCAAAAAGGAAATAAAAGGTGGAATAGCACAAATCAGCCAGGTACAAATCCTTGTTGTCTTTCACCGGTAATGGGGGCTCCAAAGCAGCTGGCTACACCCACTGCAGCAGCTACAACCAGCATTTCTCCACCAGCTTTTTCCTAAAAGAGAAATGTAGTATAATAAAAAAAAGAATTCTGACCTTTTGAATCCTACACAAAGTAACATTTAGGATATTCATGAATTGACATAATGACATCACTATGTAAAAGTAATGCTTCTATTGGCCAGCACTCCAACACATTATACATGATATGCAAAGGGTTGGGACATCTCTGCAACCATGACCAATCACAACAGCTAACTAATCAGTCACTGTAGAAGCGCAAAAAAGAAATGTGATACCTGAACATTTGCATAACAGAGTCCCTTTAACTTCACAGATTTTCAAAGGACAGGTTCTACAGTTTCTATTTCTAGCAAATATATGTATTTCTTTTATGAAGATGGAAAACAATATTTAACTTCACATTCACTCATATAGGCTATTCTTTCAGTAAAAATGCATACACATACATCAATCTTTGCTTCTTCTTAAAGCTATTCATTTTCCTTTTAGCCACTTGGGGGTAACCTGAAATCATCACTATTGTAATGGTCAGCAAGTACAAACAGGAAAAAACATTGTAATTATAACTAAATGAAATAGGTGGGATTAACTGGGTTTATGAATGCTAAAAACAATGAGCTAAAAGACACTAAGAACTCTTTAGATATCTTTTTAAGTATTGTTTATAGAAATGTTTTGCTAGCTATATCTACAGTATATGTGGATAAAGGCTTCATTTTTGAATAACTTTGCTTTTACCTTGTTATTGGCTTGTATGAGATTGCAGAGGTTGCTCAGGTAGGCTCCAATCATAGCGGAGAGATGCACAAATGGACCCTGATGTTAAGAGGCAAATATGAAAAACTTTGTTTATATCACAATTCATTCCATTTTAAAGACTGGTTGCCTGCTTTGTAAGACAAACATGTACACTGTCTTGTCTCTCACCACTTTGCCCAGGAAAACAGTGCTGCCGGCTGCCAGTGTGCAGATAAGGCCCAGGAACTTGGTAGACATGTTAGTGAGAGACAAGTAGTGAGGCATTTTGAAGCCAGCCAGCATGGTCCTCACCTCAGGTATCCCCGAGCCTGAGGGGAAATAAGGTAACAGGCCAATATTTTTTAAATAGTTGTGTTGGTTAAAAGAGGTACTAAAGCAATCAGAAGAGCGAGTCTACAGTGTAAATGAATACCCAGTAATGAAAGTAAAGGGTAAGTGGGTTGCAAGGACAATCAGCAAAAAGTAAGACGAACATAAAGCTTAATCTATTTGTTATTGGTAAAGTTAGGTTTTCGTATACTACACAATGTTTTTTGTTTTTTAATCTAAACTTTCTAGAAGTTCGGTCCCATAAATCAAGCACATTTGCCCTTTAACAGTACATCTGACAGCTTTTCTCCTTGGCAATCATAGAGCAATGTCTGGCATGTCCAAATACTTAATGGTAAGAGGCCATAAACATGAAGCCAACGAGATAAATGTCTTAAAATGGGGTGCTTGAGGCAAAAGCGTTGAGGCAGGGTTAATTGCCCCCTAAATGTAGATCGATTTGAATTTATAATTCATCATCGTATCGCACCATGCCCTTTCTGGCACTGCCTTCAACACACAGGATACACAAACATTTAAACCACCAGGATAGAGATCTCTGCATCCTGGAAATATCAATAATCGTTTTTAATGGTTGTTTGTGAGAATGTTGACTATTCATATAATACATCCCCCTTTACCACTCAAAGATATATCACCTCTGTGCCATTTACTTTCGATAGAAAAGAAAGATGTCTCTAAAAGGAAAATTCTAGATATAGGCTACAGTGCGTTTCTGTCCATGATCTCATCTTTTTCAAGTATCCTTGTGCAGCACTTAAGATGAAAACCCACTTCATGATACTCTTTCTTCTATGAGCTTTAGAATGTCATGTGAGATTACTAATTATAATATCTGCTTTTCTTTGTTCAGCATCTACCCTATAGCTATATACCTCCCACTACCAGGGATGCATGACACAAAAGAGTTCCCTGTATATTTTCTTATCACAATTGGTTTCGAATCAAAAAGGTGACGGAAAATCCCCATTTAGGAGCAAAAGTGCATTTGCACACTGAAGTCGTATATAATAAACAACATTAAAATGTGAAAAAAAAATCAAATCAAACTCACCAGTGTGTAAAGTCCTTTATTCTAATACTTAACGCTGCCATAATTGTGTAGCTGTTTTTGGGATAGTGGAAACCACTACTATTCAAAGGTAATACTTATGGCGCATTTCCACTACAGCGCGGTTTAAGAGTGTTTATTTCCGTAACAAAGTGACATCACTACGTGCTTCTATTGGCTAGCGCTCCAACACATTTTACGTGATAGGCGAAGGGGAAGGACATCTCTAAGCGGTTGACCAATCACAACAGAGCTGTCCAGCTAACCAATCAGAGCAGACTGGACTCTGGTTTCAGACAGAGGGGGAAAAGAGGTGCTGCAGCACAGGTAGTATGAAAAAAATAAAGAGCTTTTTGAACATTAAAGCATGGAGACATGTCACAGTAGAGGCAGAAAATACAATTATGAAACCTGAAAATGTGCATAATAGGGCCCCTTTAATTCATTTCAAATGGTGTTGGTGTCCACCTGACAAATCTGCTTTTTGTTCGGTTTTTGGTGTCCACCAAGGGAAATATCTTGCCCTTTAGATGCTAACTTGTCACTAACTTCATAACTGTTGGCTGTTACAGACCTGTGGAGAAGGGACAGATGTTGTGGGAAAACGACGATGCGACAGCACAGAGGCATGCTGGGTAAAGAGTCCAGCAGAAGAACTGCAGCAGACTGTTGCCCTCCAGCTTCATGTAAAGCCCCCGGTGAGCTACAAATAGAGTGAAAGACAAACATTTATAAAGTGTGTTGCTCATTCATTTATATTGTCAGTAATTGAGTGCATGTGTGTGTACCTGTCAGCAGTTTTGTCACGCTGAGGTCCATCAGAAAGCTGAGGATGGCAGTGAAAACCCCTAGAGCAGCGTAGCCATACCACTCTATCCCACACACTGCTCCCAGACAACACCTCAGCTTCAACAGCCACTCTAAGCACACACACATATTGGTTAGTCTTCCTAAAGTTTTATTTGTGAGGCATACAAATATAACAATTAAGTGAAAAACCATTTATAGAGATGTATTCAAAAAGACTATGTATAACTTGATTTTGTAAACCCAAGCAAGAGCATTGTACCAAGTTAATTGTATCTAGTGAAAAGGGGCTTCAAGAATGTATGTATATCCATTTTCAATATGGACGCAAATAGCAATAGAAATATAAACAAGCAGCCCCTAATTGAAAATATCTGCAAAAAAAAAATGTTTTAACACGTATGAAATGGAAATACAGCATATGTGTAGTCATGCATTTGTATTGAATTTGAAAGAAAAAGGCTCTACGTATTGAGAAAAAACGGTCACGGTCTGTCCTAAACTCTTAATTTCATTAGCATTTCCATATCCTAGAAGTCTTGTAGCACATTGATTGATTGATTGCTATGTTCCTGAACTCAGCAGTAATCTATGAATCATGTCTTTAAGGTCAAACAATATCACAAGAAGATGACATGGAAAAAGCTCCTCTATAGTGCATTAATTGGGTCAGCATTGATCCCGTTTAAATGATTTTCCACTTTGGTCTGACCTTTGATTGTAGCGCGGGACCGTCGGCATGGTTTCCATCGATCAGCAAGGAGCGGACTCTTATATGATGTTTCTGATTTACTTTCTCGCTCCCTGTTGTTGTTCTCTCCGATGATTTCACTCCCAGCAGCCTCATCCAGGCTCTTCATTTTGTTGTGAAGTGTTGTTCTAATTGTTTGAAGAATAAGGGCTAAAACAAACAATGATTCAATGATAATAGGAAAAAAATGAATGCACAATAGCTACTTCAAGCATATTTTTATAGAAAAGAGGCAAGCTCACCTTCTGTTTGGAATGAAAGTGTGTTTTCTGTCCGCATGTGTGCCCGTAGTATAGGTGTACCTCCACTGACCTCTGTTCAGGTATTAGCATATAAGGGATGGAGCAGTCACGGTTGAGCTAACATTAACTCTTTGGAGGAACAAGTGCCCTTCATCTGTCTTTGTTGTGGAAAAGCATTTTGAGAAACATTTTCATGCTACTCAGCGTTTTAATAGGATTTACGGTGATGTTATCAACCATACTGCAGAAAAATAAATAACTAATTTCTTAAAAGCTGTTCCAATTTATCTCATGAGACACCAGAACAGGTTTAAACTACTGGTGATTATAATGATCTTATATCTGTTTTGTTACAGTAAGAAATATTTGTGGACAGATGTAACCCAAAGGACAGAAACAAATTGATAACAGACACCCAGTTATTTGTAGATATATACCCAGTAAAATATGGATATATTAAGGGAAAAATATCAAATGGCAGCTGCCCAATGTCCCCCTTCAGCTGCAAAGGGTAAATTATGATTTATAGTTCCTACGCAGATCATATATTTACCATATTTACCGTATGCCCCTCGAAAGGCCAACAAGCCGCCTTTTTATTTCAGTTTGAAATAGATTTTTTTTTAAAATAGCATAAATAACATAAAACTAATAATCTCTTTTCAGAAGCTATTTGTTTTTTCAAGGTTGGTGTGGTTGTTTGTCTTTATAGAAAATACCTTGTGACTTTTCATGTTTCTTCGCTTCCCCAGCATGTAAACAAAGACCCTCCTCTGGGGTCCGACCACGGTTTAAAAACCACTGTACTAACCAGATAATCATACAGTAGGTAACTTAAACCTGCAATAATTAAGTCCATGGCCACAACATCAAATGTGACTCTAAGATACCTGTTGAGTTGATATGGCTAACATCCATCATTAAACGAGCATCATTATGATGAATTTAAGTCAGCTGCCAAATGCTCCACAACCAGCTAGTGAACCAAAACAGAATAGTTGTAGATAGCTGAAAAGATATTAAGAATCTCCCTTAAGCCAAGGGGAGCTGAAGAATTAGGCATAACATATTGAGCACACCTAATTTAAAGTTGCATTTAGAGAGTTTTCCTTTTTTTAATGAACCAACCAACTATTATCAACTACTTTCAGTAGAATAGCATGATACGATGAGAAGACACTCATAAAAAACATATTAAAAAGTATATGTTTGCATTTTTCTATAAAAGGTGCTGAATTATTCGATTAATTTATAATTTTTTGTCCTCCATTGTTACCATGACAGCAATATTTAGTGTGATTATCATTTTACAGCTCCGATTCATAGGAACGACTGTCATTGCTATGACATTCGTTGAATCAGTGACTGGCTTCAAACACTTATTTGAAATTCTCCAAGGACAAGCAAAATACATCATTAAACAATAATCATGGATTTCTGAAAATGTCAGAGACTTTGGATTAAATCAACGTTTCCGAGTAACTGAGCCAACTGCTCAAAGCTTAAGTAATCTCTGTTCGGATCCTTACACACACACACACACACACACACACACACACACACACACACACACACACACACACACACACACACACACACACACACACACACACACACACACACACACACACACACACACACACACACACACACACACACACACACACACACACACACACACACACACACACACACACACACACACACACACACACACACACACACACACACACACTTTACATGAGGCTCTAGTTAATGTTTATTTTCCTCAGTTCCACCTCCCCTTAGGCTTTGAATTAGCACTGAGTTATTATAGAGATCTGAAATGTTCATGCTGGTTGCGTCATTCAGTCACACACACACACACACACACACACACACACACACACACACACACACACACACACACACACAGGAAATGTACACACATACTTTGTTCACTAAAAATACGTGTTTCCATGGGAACAGCACACCTAGGCGCACAGAGAGCCAGACAGGAGGTTGCTTTACTCAACTCTCGTAAACAGTCGTCGCTGACAACAAATCTCCCAGGTAAAAAAATATAACAACTGAATATAAATGTCACAAGTTAAGTACATTTAAAATACAATTAAAACTATGAAATACAAAACTGCATCTGTGAACAGCTGAGATTTTAAAGTGTTCTTTAAACAACACTTGATGGAATTAAGGGGGGAAAAACTGCATTTTCTTTATTTATATAATGTAACTAGTGCTTGTACAAAGTGGATTTTCCATTTAGAAAAACTTGGAAACTACATCAACAAAACTCAACCTGTTGAGCCATGCTGATTTGTATGTTCTGTACACAGTTTGTACAAAGAGTCTTATATTAAGTAGAGAAGTAGAACAGTTCTCTCTGTTTTGATTCATAATGGTTTATTTTCATTAGAGAGTTATACCAGGTCACATGTGCAAGCCCATTAATGCATGTCTTTAAGCTTCACTTATCCATACTTTAATGTATTTATGTATTTCAAATGTAACTAGGGTCAAATGACAATATGCAGTATTATATGAAACGTTGCCCCCATGTGGCCAAAAACTGAAGTGATTTGGTTTATTTTTGCCCACATCTTGGTTAAATAACTTGCAAACTTTATATATACTTTCCAAATGCTGGTTTTGTCTGTTATTGGATTTAAAGAGCACTTCTTTTTATTTATTGTTAAAATAAATCAATATCTTTTGAAAATTAAAATCTACTTAATACGATACGATAATACTTTAATGGTCAGATTAAGTCTGAAATGTGACTTGCATCACAGCAGCTCCATGTGTAACATCAGCATAGACAGATATCGAGACACAATACATGAAACAAACAACAAACATTTTACATAACAGCACAATCACTGAGAGAAAACATACTGAAAGACCCTTTAGCGTGCATTTGATCTGGGATTTAGCTCTGTATTAATTTAATATCAAGTCTAATACATAGAATTGTCAAGAGAAGTGCAGCTTTTTAACAAGGATCAAATATGGAGGTCATGTGAAGGCCGGTTAGCTCCCAGTCTTAGAAGATTGTTATTCATGAATATCTGCACCCACAAAGCTGACCATCTACTTATGAAAATAAATTAGCGGCGGGGAGACGTCCTTCTTGATCAGACACTGTGGGGGGCTTGTCCCTGAGCCGGCAACATTATGTAACACACAGAAGCTGAGGCAGACACCACAGAAATGTGTGTGTGTGTGAGAGTGTGTGTCATTGTTCTTTATGGGCAGACAGGAATGCATACATACAGAGGTGACTCAATGTCAAAGGGGGCACGAGGTGGATTACTGACAGCCAGATCAGATCCACTCTGTCTTCCTCCCACTCTGTTGTTATTTTTGTTTCTCATTTTCATCGGTCCTGCCAGCTCCCTGGAGTTTTTTATTTACAATATTTTGTATTTATTTAAATGTAAGTCTCTTTTTCTTCTTAAATAATCTCCAACTTCATCTTAATTGCAGGATTAATATTGTTATTAGGGCTGTCAGTCGATTAAAAACATTTAATCGCATGATTGTCCATAGTTAATCGCGATTAATCGCAAATTAATCGCACATTTTTTATCTGTTCTAAATGTACCTTAGAGGGATATTTTTCAAGTTTTTAATACTCTTATCAACATATGAGTGTACAACTATGCTTTATATGTTTGTTTATTATCATTTGAACAATGACAAATATTCTCATGAATATTAAACACAACAACCTCTGAACATTACAAATATTCGCCTCAATTCAACCTAGAACCTCTCTCATACAATACTGTGTGTGTGTGTGTGTGTGTGTGTGTGTGTGTGTGTGTGTGTGTGTGTGTGTGTGTGTGTGTGTGTGTGTGTGTGTGTGTGTGTGTGTGTGTGTGTGTGTGTGTGTGTGTGTGTGTGTGTGTGTGTGTGTGTGTGTGTGTGTGTGTGTGTGTGTATGAATGAATGAATGAATGAATGAATGAATGTGGAGGATCGTTGGAGCTATGTGCAGCTCAAGGCATATATGCCTGTGTGTATGAGCTGTGTTGCGGCACTATCCGTGCTGAGTGTGGTGTCTGGCTACCTGCATAAAGTCAAGTGCTCGGCGCAGTTGTCGGCGAAATGTCGCTCCTCTGTTTTCATTGAAACAGCTCCTTATATCCGTTAGCTCAGCTAGCTAGCACCAGATGCTAACAACAACACGTAAGGTGTGCTTCGCTCGCGCCACACATACACACACCCTCCCGGTCCTCCCGATGGCCAGTCCGGGCCTGCCGGTGAGCGTGGAAGTGTGGTCTGCCACAAGCGGGCAGCAGGAGCGGGGCTGTCAGCATCAGCTTGTAGATGGTATTTTAAACTCGATGCGCTCTGAAACTACGGCGGCCGAGGACAAAAAATACACATGCGTTAATCGCGTTAAAATAATTAGTGGCGTTAATTTTTTTTTGGCTGTCAAGTTAACGCGTTAATAACGCGTTAACTTGACAGCCCTAATTGTTATATATCTTGATTATATTACAACAAGAGAACACTTAGTTTCTACGTGTATCTTCATCTATTGAGTTGCATATTTAAATGCCTTAAGGTGTATCGCCTCAATTATTATAACATCATTAGGGTAGGAGCACTTCCTGGACTAAAATAGAGTTGGTTTGAGGTGATCTTTGAATAAGGATATATAGAAGGGGAAAAAAACAAGAAATCGTCAAGCCACTATATTTTTTACCATTTTAAATTCCTTCATTGTAGTTGCAGTCATGTAAGACACACAAATAAACCCATTTCGGCATCAAAATCTTGTCAGGGTGTTTTTTAGTTGTCTGTTTTTGACTGCGTGAGGGCATTTTTTTAAAGCGTAAATGTCATTTTCTTGGTATTTCTAGAATATCATTGATCATTTTGACTTTCCAACACACACTTATCTTAGATGTTATCATCAAGAGCTTATTCACATTCTAACAATCATATTGAAATGTAAAGAGGGCCATTTATATTCTGCCACGACCCTAAAGCTCTAGAGCAACCTGCTCATCATCCACAACCACACTGTATTTATGTATAATTGAAGATGAAGGAATAATCAATTAATTACATCAATGGCATTTCATAACACAATTTGAAGACTACTATAGCTATGGTCTCAATGAGAGATGCAACAGAGTAGCAAAACGTAACCTACTTTTGAATAAAAGGCCAGTATAAATCAACGCTGCTGTTACTATGGAGGGGAGGAGGCTCTGTGTGCTCCCTGGCAGGAACACGGTGAGTTGCTGGGCTGGATTTAGACCTTCAGCAGGGGCTCCGAGCTCTACACTGATAAGACTGGAAGCACATATCATTCTGTGGTGCTATAACCTTTCAAACAGGGCATCAAAACAAAAGATGGCAACCTTTGAAATGCCTAGAATTTCAATTTAAACATGACTGATGGCAGATATTTAATGTTTGACATTATGCTTGCACTGCCAGTCAGTAAATGAGTGTTGAATGACATATATCACGCCATCTGTAAATTATAGGCATCCAAAGACGAAGCAGAAGTCAAATACGTTCAGTAATATCAATGAGCCCATAAATGGATATCAATGGATTTGCTGTCAGCAAAACCGACTACAGAGACAAGTGGTGAGTGTTTTCTAATCGTGGCCTGTGCTCTCCATGCAGATATTAATAGCCACAAAGCAATGTCACTACTAAGTCCCCTGCACCCGATGACGGCTTTGTTTCCAAGCACATTCTTTCCATCTTTGTTTTTCTCTTAACTTATTAACTGTGATAAGAGGCTAGGCCCCTTTTTCCTGTTTCAAATCCCTCAACGGGAGAAAACAACTTTTTCCGGTGACTCATTAGCTGTTTAACATGCTATGAGAGATTGAATAGATGAACAGATGGCAATAATCTATTGAATAATATGAAACAGAATGCTGTGAAAACGTTGGACACGGTGTCATTTGTTGGCAGAACCATTTGAGGATTACATTACAGGACAAAGGCATGGCACTGAATTTACTGAATTTTAAAGGGACAGTTCATCCCAAAGTCAAAAATACTGATTGTTCTTACCTGTAGTGCTGTTTATCAATCTAGATTGCTTTGGTGTGAGTTGTTTAGTGTTGGGGATATCAGCTGTAGAGATGTCAGCTCTTTCTTCAATATAATGATCAGGATGGCACTTGGCTTTTGGTGCTCAAAATGTCAACATTATAAGACATATTATCCAAATGTTCAGGTTCATATTTGTATGTTGTGCCTCTACTGTGACACGTTTATACGCTTTAATGTTCAAAAAGCTTTTTATTTTTCTCAAACTACCTGTGCTGCAGCACCTCTTTTCACCCTCTGTCTGAAACCAGAGCCCAGTCTGCTCTGATTGGTTAGCTGGCCAGATATGGTGTGATTGATCAACCGCTTACAGATTTCCCGCTCCTTAGCCTATCACGTACATTGTGTTGGAGTGCTAGTCAAAAGAAGCATTAGTGTTAAATAAGGAGGTCACCATGTTACTGAAGTTATTAAAGTTCAATGTAGGAATTACAGACGGGGAGAGAAACTCCCTCTGGAGGGATCTCTGGGAGCCTTTGTAACTCATATAACCAACTACAGCAAAGAAAAAAGTAATAGTAAGTAATAGGGCCCTTCAACAGTATGTCTCTTTCTGAAAAACATTACCCGTTAACTCCTGATAATCCACCAAGGTTCCAACCTAGTTGTTTTATGTTGGAACAACTTTCTACCTAACTACACCTGTATCAACACGCAGAAGAAAATGTGCACCTACTGGAGCATGAGACAAGAAGCTAGTGACAGCCAAAATCATGTAAATATGAATTGCCTCCTCCTCCTTCTTCTTCTCGCCTACAAAGCCCTTAATGGGCAGGCGCCATCTTACCTTAAAGAACTCATTATACCCTACTGTCCTACTAGGGCATTGCGTTCCAAGAATGCAGGGTTGTTGGTTGTTCCTAGAGTCTCTAACGGTACGTCTACACAGCAGCGTTAAAAAAATCTTGGAGGTGGGCGTATCTGAAGCTTGGGGATTTTTTGCGAACAACCAATCACATGAATCTCCCGCCCGCGACATACGAAGCAAAAAAGCCCGAAGTAAACTGGATATAAACTCCCCAAAACAGGCGAAAACATACCACTGTCTCTGCCACCTCCCTCCATGCCTGGCTCCTCCGGTTTATATCCCGGTAGGTCTGGTCATAAAGCACCGGGTGGTTGATTCGCTACCGCTAATTTCTCCTCCATGTTTTGGAATATGAGGAAATGACCTGCGGTATGTCTCTCCCAGCATACACGCCGTTTGATTGGCTAGAGCTTGAACTGTCAGATTTGCGTACACAGGATTTGATTGGCTGACGCTTCCACCTCAGCCTCAAAAGTTGAACATTGTTCAACTTTGAATCCTGAAAATCCTGAAAATCTCCGCTCGCCTGCCCACAATGCATTTCGGCGAAAAGTGAGGGAAAGTGACGTCACCCCATTCAAAGTGAATGGGCAGAAGCGTTTCAAGATTTTTTTAACGCTGCTGTGTAGACGCACCGTAAAAGTACAATAGGAGCCAGAGCCTTTTCTTATCAAGCTCCACTTTTGTGGAATCAGCTTCCAGTTTGTGTTCGGGCGGCAGACACCCTATCTGTTTTTAAGAGTGCGCTTAAGACCTTCCTTTTTGTTAAAGCTTATAGTTAGGGCTGATTAGATTCAGCCCCTAGTTTTGCTGCTATAGGCTTAGTTTGTTGGGGGACACCTTACTTCTTCCTTCTCTCTGTCTGTACCTGTGTACTCTCATGTTCCGAATAACCCAGCTTCACCCAAATTTCTTTCTTTTTGGTGTCTATCTACGCCGGGATCCTGAGTCGTGGCTGATCCTGTTGCTGTGGTCCTGAGTCCTGGATCGCGAGCCCTGGATCTTGAGTCGTGGCTGTGCCTGTTGCTGTGGTCCTGGATCATAAGTCCTGGATGGATATCCTCGTGGATTCATCTTCTTATTATAGACACATGCATTTCCAAACATTTGGACTACCTATGTTGCAAATGTATCATCTTTTCAATTTACACACGGCATCTATTGCACGTCTGTCCGTCCTGGGAGAGGGATCCCTCCTCTGATGCTCTCCCTGAGGTTTCTCACATTTCCCCTTTAAACTGTGGGTTTTCTTCGGAAGTGTTTCCTTGTACGATGTGAGGGTCTAAGGACAGAGGGTGTCGTATTGTCATACTGATATTCTGTACAAACTGAAGTCCACTGAGACAATTGTAACATTTGTGATATTGGGCTATATAAATAAACATTGATTGATTGATTGATTGATATGAGCTGTAGTGTAAGCTAGCTGAGTGGTGCTAGGTTAGCTAACATTTCCTTCTGCGCGGTAAAATGGTTAGCTAGTGTAGCTTGGTAGAATGAAATTACTTTACATTTAACTGCCATCAACAAGGTCAGTAGATTATTTTGAGTAGGTGGGTCAAGATTTCTGGAATGAGACATTGCTGTTGAGTTTTTCCAAATTGATTTTTTGTGTTTTTAACGCCACAAGCCGAGTGCCATCTAGTTCTGTTATATTGTAGGCAGACACCTCTACAGTCAATAGCTCCAACACTTGGCAACTCACACCAAAACTATCTGCACTGATAAATATCTACAGCTAAGAGGAAGAACATGTACTTTTATTTCTTTAAAAAATTGACTGAAATAATTGGCTGATGTATCCCTGGAGTGCAGGGACATTAAAGAGAGAAGATAAGGGAAGCTATTTCAGGGATGGTGCGTCAATGACAACTGTTGCCCCCCCCCCCCTCCTCAATCCCACTCTCCACTAGCTCTTAACCTCATAGCCTTCAATGCCCAGAACTTTTCCAACAACAGACCCCTCTCTCCATTGCTTGTGCGTCTCATGATAAATATAGATCTCTATGACCCCTTCCCAATGAGCTGTGACACACGTGCGCACCGCCCAAGGGACCATACAGTATATAAGGGTGGGTGAGTGCATCAGGGTGGGAATTTGAATCATTCTACCTAACACAAACAAGAAAAAAACAATATAAAGAAAAAGTAAGAAAGAAGACAGAAGAGCTGTGGGAATTATTTCTTACTTTTAAGCCTCTGGAAGAGTCCCAGAGCAGAAGAATCAACTCTCTCCGCCTCCCTCTTCCCTCCCATTACTCTCCTCCTCTGCCTAACCCAGAACACTCAGCCATCCATGAGTGGGACCAACTCCTCTGCCTATCGATCGGAGCGTAGTTTTCACCAGACTTCATCCTCATCCTCATCTTCTAGTAACCCATACATGGAGAAGAGCCGGGGACTGTTTGCCGAGGACTTTGGCTCCTTCATGAGGCCTGGGAGCGACGCTCTGGGGTTTTCCAGTAAGTTTGGAGCAATTTGTAGGTCACTTTTTTTATGTACAAAGTGGTGTGAAAGTAGTAGCAACAGTGGGTGAAGAGACAACTTTGACTACAAGGTAGATTTATATCTGTGCTTTGTTTGAAGTGTGGTGTTTTTCTCCATAAATGTGAGATAAAAGAAGTCCAAGTTCAGAGGAAGGAGACAACAGACAGGACTCTCGTGTGATAGATGTGTGGACACATATGTTTTCTCAGCAAGAGAGTAGTTTGATAGGGTCACCAACGGGTTAAAAAGATGAGGAAACAAACTCTAAATTGGAGTTGGATTTTTTCAAGAATATATTGGCAAATTCTTTCAGGATTTTCAGATGTTTCGTGTTTCAAATACCTATTCAATTCAACAGAGATTTCACTTTATGCTTCATCTCCTAGCTCAGTAATGTGTGCAGCTGGTGTGAACTGTTCTGTATTGGTTCCCTGTTGGCGTACACAGACCTGTGAATGTGTGACATCTGAACTTTAAATGGACTCAGAGTGTGGCCCACAGTGTCTCAGGGGGAGAGCTTAACTGTTTTGGAACCATTGTTGGTACCCCGTAGGTGCAGTGCTAGATCCTGAGGGTGGGAGCAGCTAATGGGAAAGCAAGACACACACACACATGCACACAAGCCTTCTGGGGAATGCTGGACTGACTGCCAGCACCGTGACTTCACACACTGAGTATCTGGAATGGCGCCTGCATAAGGAATGACCAGATGGTTGCCCAGTGACCGGTGTACACACTAAATACATGCACATACACAAACAATCGGAATGATGTCACCCAGTCAACCTGACCTGCGTGAGATCAGAGCTATATCTCACACACACTAATTTCTAGTCAGTGTGTGAGGTCATGTGTTACCACGTAGTTCTTCACTGAGCTCAGAGTAATGGCACTCTCTTTGAATGTTATCATCGGATTGGATGGGCGTTATCAGTGGTTATCAGTGTCATAGATATTGCTCAGAAGGGGCCTGCTCCACATACTGGAAGATTCAGAAGGTTGTTCTCATTTATTCAAATGGTAACCGTAAAGAATACAAAACCATGTTGACAGAAGCAAAGAGAAGTGAGTCAGTATAAATAGCGACAAAATCTGCGTAGTGAAGTGGTCAGGGTGTATGGATCAGTAAATACCCTATATAATATAACCCATGAGTTTAACCTCCCAATGTGCGGGGTTTGTGCAGTTGCCCATTTGAAACATTCAACTGTTAGTGATAACAACTGATAACAGCCATTTAATGGGCTATTTAAAGTTTTAAATGGGTGTTAACAATTGGATCATGTGATTTAGTGTAATGTGAAAGGTCTCACTCATTGCGACAACACCAGAAAAATGTCACCCCGCTCTACAGTTCGCCATTTTAGTCACTGTAGCTCATTGTTTTTGTTTTCCATTTCCTCAAACTCTGCGCTCACTTACTCCATCTTTCAGGAAGCTAGTTTGGGTGAAATGTCTATAAGGTAACAGCACAGCACCAAACAGCAAGGTTTGCAACTTGCTGAGGGAAAAAACTGAACTAAAAACTGAAACCATGCTGTTTATATATCTGAACAGTGACTCTACAATGACTCTACGTACTTTATACCATAATAATACACAGCCAAGTAGGCTCGCTCCTAGTCCTATGTTATACAAAGACCTAGTGAAACAGAACATAATTAGCCTACATACTGTGTGATTTTATAATGTCAATACTTTCATGATAGTAGTGCTTCCCTGTGGTCTTACATGATGTCTTATCTTGTCTTGGGTTTAGGTGGCTCTGGAAATATCAAGACTCTTGGGGATTCGTACCAGTTCACAGTTGACGTGCGAGACTTCTCCCCTGAAGATGTCATCGTCACCACATCCAACAACCAGATTGAAGTTCATGCGGAAAAGGTGGGCAGCCTTTTGTTGGAAATGAATATGGAATTTACCTTATGTCTTTACGTAAGACAATATTAGCCTTTCCAAGATGTTAAAACTAAAATCTGTTTCCCTTGTCTCAAAGTCAATTCGTTTTTTCAATAGGTTTATTTTTTTTAAAGTCAAAATTAAGAGATTTTGACATTTTGTTCTACAACATAAAATACAAATTGGTAATTACCCCAATCATGATTTAGACGTTTTTTTTGTGTCTTAAAAAAAAGTAGTTGCTAACAAATGGCTAAATTGGATTACAGAGAGTGTCAGGGACAAAGATCACGCTTAACACCAGGAACCTTATTTACCAAATCATAAATTGAATTTATGCTTTAGAATCTTAAAATGAATTTTCATTTTTAAAGATGAACTTGCTGAACCAAACATGAAGGTATCATAAAGTTTGCCAAAGAGCTTTATTCATGCCATCATGAAAAATCCCATTTACTTTTTGTCGAATGTCGAACTACAAAGTACGTAATTCCTGCAATGAAGTCATTCTAAATATTTGTTTCTTCTGGCAGTTGGCACAGGATGGTTCAGTGATGAACACGTTCACACACAAGTGCCAACTACCTGAGGATGTGGACCCCACCTCAGTGACATCATCACTGGGCGCAGAAGGGACCCTAACAGTCAAAGCACGGCGACTACCGGCCAAACACGAGCTCGTACAGACCTTCCGCACCGAGATCAAGATCTAAAGAACTGACCCGCTTTCTCATCACAGATTTCTCACTTTTTTTGTTCTTATGCTTCTTCCTTATTTTCTGTCTTTACTTAAACCATTCTACTTTAAAAACTCAGCAGAGAGTTGGCACTATGCTCTATAAAACATGCCAGGTCCTCCATCTCCATGTCTGCAACAATGCTGCTCTTCATTTATATTCTGAGTTAGTTCAACATACACAGCAGCAGTAGGTCAAACCTGCAGGTTCTCTCACACACCCACACACACACACACACACACACACACACACACACACACACACACACACACACACACACACACACACACACACACACACACACACACACACACACACACACACTACTAAAAATGAAGACTCACCTAACAAATTGATGGTTACCACGTTAATAATAATTTGTAATATATCACATTTGTGTGAATAAAGTAATCCTGCTTTGACATAAACATGTGAGCTATTTCATTGATTTAGATCGGGACTAAAGTATAGTTTAAGCTACCAATGGAGAGTTGACAATCTATAAGAAACGTACAAATCTTGGGTATTTAAATTTAAATTTTTTGTAAGGGCGAATATAGCTGGTAATGGCTTGAGTATTTCTTCCCTTGTGTATAATGAATGCATTTATAGAGAAGGCTTTTAAACAACATTTAGGGTTTCATCTTGGAGAAATCTTCTTTTTTTTTAAACAGCTGAAAGTGTAAATAATTGGAAAATTCAATATGGTAATACAAATAAAAAAAAACAAATATGGGCTTGAAGGTGAGTAGGCAGTAAACAGCACAAGGCAATCTTTTCTGTTCTGAAAATCAGTACGAAAGCTCAGAGGTGATTCTATTCAGTGTTTTGTGTGTTTTGTCTGTCCTGTTTCCATGAGAAAATAATTTCGAAGGCTCTTTTCAATCTAAAATAATTTCGACAGCTTTGTGATGTGGCTGTAATTCACTTTATGTTCGAGCCAGGCTGTGACCTTTGCATTTTGGAAAGCTTTTCCCTGTGAAAGACCACATAACAGAATGATTTATGTTAGACTGTGAAGCAGCGTAGAAATTAATGATATATGTTATTTTCAGAGTGATGGGGAAATGATTATGAATTATTATTCTTATAGGACGTTCACAATTCTCATTGCATTTTATACTCATTACATCGGCACTAGCATATAATAGAGCATGCTTTTTTTAGTTGAAAGGATACTTAATACAAAAGCCTATAGGTTTTTGAGGGGTTTGCCATTCATTACATTGATGGCTTCAACTTCACATTTATGAATCAGATTAATAGCGTGTTGCTGCTTCAGATAATACCAGCCAGGGGATTAAAGCACTGATATACATAATAAATCAGCTCACAAAAATTGTAAGTTATTCATTGTGGATTCAATGTTTTATTACCTTTCCTATTTTTTTAGAATATAGGATTGATGCCGTTTGGTGGTTTTATGTCGTTTTCAAAACTTAAAAAATGATGGTTCATGATTAGAACATATAGATTTATAAATATGAGAGTTTAAAAGTTAGAAGAAAAGTTAAAAGGCAAAACCAAAACAATAGGCCTATATTTTTGTATGAAAGGGAAAATTGAGAAAAAATGATTGGAATTAAATGTAAAGACAGCTTGCCAAAAAATACAAGACTTTGGACAAGAATAAAAAATATGACATTAATCTTCTGGAACCAGACACTGAAATTGTTTATATTGGACAGGTCTCCCTTGAAAAAGAGATCGATGATCTCAATGGGACCACCTGACCTGGTTAAATAAAGGTTTGAATCAGAGCCGTATAATAGAATCTATTACTACTAGCCTACTATAATTCTATCTATACGGCGCTGGTTTGAATGAATAGAGCGTATTGCGCCACCACACGGTCATCATGTGCACAGCCCGTGTTCACACTGCGCACGCTCCAGTTATACATCCGGCCGGTCCCTATATCAATCGATCAGAGAGAGGAAGATGGCGCTGGATGGACTGAGTGGAGCATGATCGATCACCGAAAAGCTCGATTGGATTTGTTTTGCCTAACTGAGTCAAACATTCCGAATCATCGTCCGAGCTGCATTTTGGACCCGGAGTGAAAAGCGGCAACAAAGAGGTAATTCAGGACTTAGTTTATATGAACATGGCGCTTGCAGGGAGCGAAATGAGCGAGCTAGCAGAGAAAACAACAAGAGGTGAAGACAGGCCGGACTCGCCGCTCCGCCATCTTGTCCCTTCACTACATGCATGTCAAGGCAAGCTAAATTAATCCCTGATAACAAAGCTACAAGGATGGAGGAATTGTAATCGATTCATTGCACTGTCAAACCAAAGCTGTCAAAAACTTTTAGAGACACGTTATTTCCAGTCATTAAACATCTTTACTGCACTTTAATATTCTCGTGTTTTGTGTAATGCTGCATGTCCATAATGAAGCAAAAGTCTGGCGTCATTATTTTCTAATTTCTGACGTTACATTGTACAATATTGTTACTACGCACTTAGTTTATTAGCTAACGTAGCTATATTTCGAATGATCTTGGGTTTTAAATTGTATATCTGTTTGGAGTATTTCCTGCAGTATCTTGTAAGAAATGGAACAGGCACTAACCTACAGGAACAAAACATTTAGGACATGTTTATATTAAGTTTATTGACCATACAACCAAAATACCTTACAGACAATTCATGCACTTTTCGACAGACTTGACTAAAACACTGGTGCTATTCATTCAAACAAACCAAACGAGTGATATGCTGTATGAAGTTACCTTGTTTTCCTTTTTTTTAACGAGTCGAATACATTCCAAATGAGGATAGTTTTTAAGCATAAACGTGTAACTGTAGCCTACTGATCTTTTGAGCTCATAGTGTTTCATTGAATTGCAATTATGGAAGACAGGGTAAAGGTTAAAATCTATGTCCTGACAACTGTTTTAACTCTATGTTACTTTGTTAATGTTGGAGTTACATGGTTTTTGAATGCCAAAAGTCTTTATTTTGTTTCACACTGAACATTATTGGTATGACTGCTCTGGTCAGTCATAATAGTATTCAGATACTGATTAAAAAATGATGTTATATTAGGTATCAAGTTACTAAATAGTTAATCTTATTTATTTATATCAAATGTATTTAATATTTTGAACCGTATATATTTTGAATCAATTTTTAGATGTTTTTCAATAAATTATATATAAAGTTCAAGGTAAATAAATACGTAATGTCGCCAAAGTCAATGAGTAATCATTATGAATGATCATTGTAAGGCTCACAAAAAATTATTGTAATTTTGCCAATTATTTTCAATCATCCTCCAGTATTGTTAAAATAAAGGTCCAGGAATGTCATGTCACTGTAAAACACAACTGGTCAAGCTGACTGTCCACGTTTTTGAGCATTTCCTACGGGGCTCCATTTGACTCTCTGCTTTTCACTCTCCACAGAGACTCCTCCATCACCCTCAAGCGTCCTTCGGTACGATGGAGTTCCCGTGGCACAGTGGGAAGGTCCTGGAGCAGCTGAACCGCCAGCGCCGGCAGGGCCTGCTGTGTGACTGCACCTTTGTGGTGGACGGGGTGGACTTTAAGGCCCACAAAGCTGTGCTGGCAGCCTGCAGTGTTTACTTCCGCACGCTCTTCCTGGACCAGAAAGATGTGGTACATCTGGACATCAGCAATGCAGCAGGTGGGTTTCCATCAGTGTGCGCACTACGTATTTATGCATTACATTTTTTTTATATATTTGTTCTGCCTCGCTATCACAGTGTTTTCACTGCTGTACAACTACACTTGTTGCTCTATGCGGAGAAAATAACTTACAATCTTAAAAGACACAAAAAATTCGATCTGGCAGTCTTTTATGCATTTCATGGAAAATTAGGATATGTAGCAATAACATGGCGCCGATGAAGGCTGCTTCAGTGTTGTGACGAGCTCTGTTTTGTCTTGTTTTGTGCGTTAAATCAGTGTTTCTTTTTATCATCTTTATATTTTTTACCTACTATTGCAACTTATTTTCTTAGATTGTTTATGTTCGCACTACCAGAAACCAAAGCAAATTCCTTGTATGTGTATAAACGTACCTGGCAATATACTTGATTCTGATTCTGATTGAACAGCAAGGGAAAGTAACCTTCTTTTTTTTTTAAAGTTATTTATATATATTTACTTTAATTTAAGTTATGCCATGTCAGGCTATGTCTTCTATATTTAATGGTTTATAATTGCATTGTTTTATTTTTTGTGTTCTTGTTATCCTTTTTGTGTGTCTTTCAATGTGGAAAATTGGTAATAATAATAACCAGACTTATTTGATTGTTGTTTCTGGTTGCAGGTTTGGGTCAGGTCCTGGAGTTCATGTACACAGCCAAGCTGAGTTTGAGTCCACAGAACGTGGAAGACGTCTTGGCTGTTGCTAACTTTCTACAGATGCAAGAAATTGTGAATGCGTGCTCTGCGTACCAGTCCATGGCAACTACAGCTCCGTCCCTCATAACTCTGGATTTTGCCGTCGGTGAGTCACCGGTGCCCTCAATTTCCCGAATGCTAAACCAGGTCAATCTATCACTGCTGGTGTAGGAAGGGGCAGTCGAGGTTAACAAGAAACGTTTTTTGTTTGGAATAAATTCAACAATCGAATGTATTTAACCTTAACCGTCACTTTTAATGGCATGAGGTGTCTTTTGTTTATATTGTTAGTCATAAGGTATTTTCCACTATTTCCATAGTTGGAATCTTTACCTGCATTTTAAAGAAATAGGAAGTCCAAGCTTTACATTTTAAACTGCTGTTTGGGCATCCATATGAGTTAAATGTTGTAATTTTAAACTGATATTAATCTTTTTTGAAATTCACATCTAGTAAAGTATTTTTTTTTGTGCAAAAATATGGAGTTTGGACCGGTGCTTGAGAGCCCCGGATCACTTGCAGCTAGGGCTGCTCGATTATGGCAAAAATCATAATCTCGATTATTTGGGTCAATAATTGATATCACGATTATTAAAAACGATTATCCATTTACTTTGAAAACATCAATTTATTGGAGAAAAAAAATGTGAACAGTATGTTTTTAACAGTTGATTACCCTGAACTTTAAGTATAATTCAACTGAAAAACCAATAAAAAAAAAATGTAATTTGAAAAAAGAAAAGTAATAATAATAATAAAAACATAATCATTTATTTCGATTACGTTGTTTTCGTAATCGTTGCAAGCCATAATCGTAATTGCGATTAAAATACGATTAATTGAGCAGCCCTACTTGCAGCCCCTTCGCTCTCATCAGTTCATGACTATATACGGCCTGTTTGTTCATGTGTGTGTATTTCGGATCTATGTGTGTAATTATAAAATAACACCAGAGTGAAGAACTGAAACTGAATAAAGGTGACTTTAATCTTTATAAGAATTTAAAGTGACAAAGCTGTGCAGTTTAAAAAGTGGTAGCATTGCAAAAAATACAAAGGAATGTGCAAGGTTCACAGTATTTGTATGAGGAATGGCTCACATGATTTGCGTTAATGTAACAGAAGTGAATTCAACATTTTAATTAAACAATATAATATAGTCAAAGTATTAAACTGAGCTTTATAAACTGTTATTGTCCAGTGTATTAAATTCTCTTCTCCACTAACTTCTCATTCTTTTTTACAAACCAGAAGAAAAGCAAGGTGAGGAGCAGCGAGAGGAACCAGAGAGTGACCTGGCAGAAGCAGCATCTCAAGCAGAGGAGAACAGTAGCCCCCCCACAGAAGATCTAAAGCTCACACAAAATGAGGAAAACTTAAAGGAAGACACTTCCCCTGAAACACCACAGACAACTATTACTGAGCCCGAGCCCGCCAAAACCACCCCCGGCCCAGGAAGACCCCCAAAACCCCCCGCCCTGCCCTCTCCAACGAAGGTTCCTGTGGAGGAGGAAGGAGCGGCACAACAGGCGCCAGACGCTGACTACACACCCAGTCAGTGCTTTACTACAAAATGATGTCTAATAGATGCATTCCAGTGTTAACTCTTTTTATTTGACCAAGGAATTTGTTTTTGCTCTTTTTCTGTAAAGAATCACAGTTGAAATCCGCTGGCAGCTCCTACATGAGCTCTCGGGGGAGAAGAATCAGAAAACCTCCTCGACGGAACTTCCCACCAGGTGAGCACGCTGCACTGCTTTACTCTGCGGTATTAACCCAAACAACAACACAGCTTTTTCTGAGCCTCCACTGGTTATTGAATTTGTAGACAAACAAAATCCAGACAGAAAAGATTCAAAGGGATTATTGTTACATGCAAATAAGTACACTGTCGTTTTTGAAAATACTTAGGCTAATTCACCTTTACGGACCGTCTACACAGCAGCGTTAAAA